CCCTAACTCTAAAAAAAGCGCATAAATGGCAATTTCTGTGGACAAACAATTGCCAGATCAAGGCGCGGAAGTCTGGTGATGGCAGGGTATATCGCATTATCAAATACAGTGATCTTAGCATCTTTTCATAGCCACTGAGTCCTACGCCCATTTTCGTGCTGAACACTCGTTCACTTTCATCTTATCATCATGGCTTTGCTATCCCCTGACGAGGCTAAACATATGCTAGATGAGATAATCGCTCCTTGGTTCATTTAAACGCGCGTGGCCTCCGCAAAAATTCGGATAATATTTATAACTTTATAGATTCACTTGCGCATTCTTTCTCCATCATTTGCATCTCTGAAACATGGCTCTGCACTTATGACGTCAATCTGTTCGGCCCGTCATCGTACGAAGCTGAGTACTGTCACCGTTGTTCAGACAGCTATGATGGCTAAGCAATATTTATCGCCCCGGATCTGTCCAACACCCGCCGACAAGATCTTTCCTTAGGCATCTCGCATTGCGAATCCGTGTGAATTGAATTAGATCATTCTTTTTTAAACGATAATAATAACGTTATTCTGGGGTGTATTTACCGTTCGCCTTCTTTGAATATGAGGAATTTCATTTCTCCCCTGGATACCATTCTGCCTCAGTTATCATCTGAAGGCAAGCGCGTTGTCTTAGTTGGAGACATCAACATCAACTTGCTTAACACAGACAATTGTGTGTGCAATAATGACTGCTTCAGTGGATACGGTTTTGAGTCTCTCATTTCATCTCCTACTAGATGTACTATTTTTGGTGCTGCTTCATTGCTTGATCATGCCATCTGTAATTTCTCACCCTCTCCCTCTGTAGGAGTAATTGATGTGAACATCACTGATCATTATCCCATATTTCTTGCTTTCAACGTCGTGAAGCCATTTGATCCACCCACGCGTGTTACTTCCGTACTTGACCAGGAATTGTTTTTCAATGCCATTATTAAAACTGATTGGTCCAGTGTTACGTCCTTATGCAATGTAGACCAGGAATTCAACAAGTTTTCTTCCCTTTTCCTTAAAACCGTAAAAGAATGTACTAAAACAGTTAAACGTAAAAAGAGGTACAAATATCCTAAGAACCCATGGTTATCTGAGCGACTGCTAAAAAGTATGCGTAAAAAAGATAACCTGTACAGAAAAGTCAAAAGACAACCATTTAACACTGCTTTAGCTTCACGCTATAAAAAATATTCGAATGTTTTTCGTGTCTCTTGAAAAATGCCAAGAAAAAATATTATGATGACCAAATATATAGTGAAAAAAACAACTCTAAAAGACAATGGCAACTCTTAAACGATTTTCTAAATCGATCAATACATAGTTCACTTTTGCAGAAAGTCATATAAAGGCGTTACACATGATAACCCTGAAAGTGTTGCTGATGCTTTTAGTAATTATTTTTTTTGAAATTTTTAGTGAAAAACATAGCAGTTCTTGCTGTAATCTACAACGTTCTAATCATTCTTTTTTTCTTTTCCCCATGAGTCCTGATGATGTTTCTACAGCAATCAAAAGTCTCAAAGAAACCGGCCCTGGTATAGATAAAATCTCAGCACACTTAAAACTTGCAGTAGACATTATTTCTGAACCACTTTCTATAATTATAAACCTTGCGTTCAAGCATGGCAGTTTCCCTACTTCTCTAAAAATAGCTAAAATCCTTCCGATTTTTAAAAAGGGTGACAAGCAATCAACTTCTAACTATCGCCCCATCTGTATTCTTTCTTCCCTGAGCAAAGTCATCGAAAAACTATCGATAACTCGGCTAAACAAGTACCTTAATACTATCAATAACTCGGCTAAACAAATACCTTAATAAATTTAATATACTGAAGCCCTGTCAATTTGGCTTTCGCACTCGAAGTTCTACTAACCTTGCTATTCTTTCCCTATCAGACTTCATCAAACACTCCATAGACACAGGATTTGTAGTAGGGTCAGTTTTCTTAGACTTCACAAAAGCATTCAATACCATTAATTATCTCATTTTATCCAAGAAACTCGAATCGTATGGTATTACAGGTCCATCCCTCAAATTTTTAAATAGTTACCTCCTTAACAGAAAGCATACTGTTTACATATTGGGCTCATTTTCTTCTACTAAAACAATAAATCAAGGGGTTCCTCAAAGGTCATTACTGGGTCCATTACTTTTTTTACTTAACATTAATGACCTTCTTGACATTATACACATGGCTCACTGCATTTTATATGCTGATGATACTACCATTTCCGTTGCTGATATGTGTATTGACAACGTCACTAATAAACTAAATGCTATACTTTGTAGCGTGTCAAAATGATGCCAGGAAAATTTCTTAATTATTAATCCAAATAAATCTAAGTTTATGGTTGTTAGATCAGCTCAACGCAAGTTAACTTCCTCACCACAGCTCACAGTTGACTCTCATTTGATTAATATCAGCGACAGTGTATCTTTTCTTGGCGTTCATCTCGACGCTAACCTTAACTTCGCTCTATATATTGCTCACATTAGAAAAACGGCAGCATTCGGCATTCGCGCATTACTCAAAGCTCGCTCATATTTTTCTCATAAGGCACTCCTTTCACTTTACTTCACATCCATTCATTCTCATATCACTTATGGCATCGCATCATGAAGGAATACTTACCAGTGTCATCTTTTATCCGTACAACATCTACAAAATCGAGCTATTCGCACTATTTTTAACTGTTCTCACGACAGAAGCGTCGCTCCCCTTTTTCAATGCAATAAAATCTTAAATGTTAGCTATCTATTCAAGTTTAATCTAATTATGTTTCTGCATAAACAAATAAGAAATCAACTTCCTGCTAATTTCATTGATCCTAAGATGTCAGTTAATACGAACACAACCAGGTTTTCGGCTAATAATAACTTTTTAGTTCCTAAGGTTCGTACTAACTACGGTAAATCTTCTCTCTTCTGCACCATCACCATATGGAATAATTTGCCCACTTCGCTAAAATGCAAAGTTTCTTTAATTTCATTTAAAAACTCATTAAAAGAGTACCTGTTAAATAATTGATCTATTTTCTTTGAGTTGTTTTATGCTGTATTATTTGTTTTTTGATTCCATGCCTTTTTGTTTTCATTCTGCTTTGTATATTTTTGTTTCTACGATTCTAACAGCTGCTTGTGCTTTTATTATTTGTAATCATCACCGAGGGTCCCGTTGCAGTCGTGTACTTTGGGACCCTCATCTGTATATTTTACTCCCTGTAACATCCTTTTATGACATGATAATAAACTGATTGATTAATTGATTGATCATAAGAAACTGTTTAGGACACTTTAAATCTTTTACATGATAATTGCTTAGGTGTTGCAGAGTGTGAACATTTTTCAATATGAGACAGTTGCTGCATGAGCCGAGGAGTAAAGAAGCGCTGAAGCGTCGTTACAAGCACAAATATAGATGCCACATTTGCCACACGATCACCACGCAGAACATTTTCTGGACATGATAATCCAAAGTTTGCATCTGGTAAAGTCTTAAAGCTGCGTTGGCGTTCACCCAGCAACACGCATGATGGCCATTTAAATATCCACAAATAAAGTTTTTTAACCACCCAGTTTTTCAGACATGGATCTAAAATTTCGGAAGACGAAGGGTTTCAGTGCCCAATTTTTCGAACTTCCTGCCCACATATATGAAACAGCATCAATTGCAGCCCCCATCTCAGGTACATTCACCATCTTGTAGGCTTGAATCAGCGCTTTTGCAAGATGATGTGTTTGCCATCGTAGCAATGTCTGCAAGTCAGCTTGGCTGCAATGATTAGGTAGTACGGAGCGAAGCAGACCAAAAATCCAAAGGGGCCATTATACCGGCGTGGTGCAGTAGATAAGCACAGGAAATGCGTGAGGTATGATAGCAGCAGGTGTGAAACACACCAGTGCTACTTGATCACGGAAAACCCTTTATGATGAGAATTTAAAGCAAATTGCTCTGTACAGCATGTGGCCTAGCGCAGTTGTCAGCGGGCTACACACTTTAAATAGTTGACAGCCCAAATGCGCCGTGCCACCATTTTTGCGGACTCTTTGTGCGAGATTACCAAGTATGCCGCAAAGACACATTGCCTTCTCGAATGAAAGGAAATGGCTATCACCACGCCAGTGCACAGTCAGAAACGAAGAGGGCATCAAGAACACTGCCACTACAAGCACGTGCGTAGAATACAAAAACGCCCCGGCAGTGATGGCGTCAGCGTAGTTCACGATGTACTGCTCACAACTAGAAATGACCGGCTACACGCAGCAGCAAATTCGGCGTGTCAGTGTCGATTTTCGTATAACAGCACATTGTCTACGAGCACGCATGCATCAGCAAAAGCTCAACTCATGCACTCTTGTGCCATAGCCTTTGTGTTTCGCATCATTCTATAACTAGCTTTCATAATTATATGAAAATTTATAATTGGAATTTGCATGCAGTTAAATTAGAATGCATTAATGAGACCCTGGATGCGCTCCAAGACTGGAGGTGGAAGAACAACAAGAGAGAAGGCCGCGAGATTAACCAGGCACATGCCCGGTTGGCAACCCTATGCTGGAGGAATAGGAAAGGGAAATATAAAAATGAGAGAAAGAGAGGATAGAGACCGGAAAGAGACAAGAAAATTATGAGTACATTGGCTGATGCGTATGCAGCGGTTGTACCATGCAAAAGTCAAAGGCGTTCACATTGCCCACACTCTTCAGAAAGCACAAGAGGGCTTTCACAGCTTTGTGAGTCGATGAAAGATGAGGACAGTGCTCCAGCAGCATCTGCACAGAGAGTAGCTGATTGTCCTATTGTCACGTGTCAGAAAGTTTTTGTCTCTCACAGGAAAATCGAGGACAATGGCATAGCAGATGATCGATGTGTTCTTCAGTGCCGCAGACCTCACATGCTGCACTGTCAGTCCCTCCAATTAGCGTTGTATATGCTTTCATGAAGGCAACCCCCAACTAAAGCTGACAAATAAGCGAAGCTTCACTTGAACAAAGTCCGGATGACGGACGAAGTTCCAGTTGAGGGTTCATTCGGTGCGCACCAAAATACCCAGTAAGTGTACTACGAGGCATTAAAGCTACTTTGGGCATGGCTACTACGCTCCAACATACCTAGCAAGTGTATGGAAAGCATTAGGACTATTTCAGGCGTGACTGTTGCACCCGTTTGTGTGTCTCTTCTGTGTCCCCATGTGCCTGTGCAAATATTACAAGATCAATGTAGCTATTCGACAACTTGAGCAGAACAAGAAAGCATGAAATCATCTTTTATTACCCCCCCCCCCAACCCTTTTGACGATTTCGCGGTTTCTAAGAAGTCTGCAGAATCGGGACATTCACTGTATCAAAACGGCGACATTAGGCATAGTTGGGCTGGGCTTGGTTAAAATTTCATCATACGCAGGTGCACCGTGATGTAGCTTTCGATGGGAAAAGCTGATATGATTAGTTTCCTTTTTGAAAGTCGGCGTACATCCTTTGGTGCAGGTTGGGTACAGACTCGCAATATTTTGAAGAAATGTACCATGATGTAGCAGCCGGGGCACTTGGGTGCAGTTTGGCGCAATTAGCACTGCAGTAGCATCACTGCTAAAGCAAGCAATTAGTATAAACTGATGATTCTAAGATTTCTTGCACTACAATTTTTCTTGTACATTAAAATGTGTCCTATACACACTTTCTTGATAGCTATTTGCGTTCTACAGTTAATGAGGAACAATATGGGCCACTGATGGCTCAGAATCATAAAAGTTTAATGGTATAAAAATTTTCCAAAACGAACTATACTCTACACATTGTCATGGCAGGAAACAAAACTGTGCAAGTTACTACAAAACTAGTAAAACTAATAACATATTTGAAATCAGCATAAAAGGCTATCTATATAGCAAATTTCACTGCTCTCGCCTAGAGAAACAGGAAACTTTTTTTTTAATCTCATCTACCCTTAAAGCATCAAACCCATGCAGTACAGAAATGAAAGCGCCCCCCACTGCATGCTAGTCACGTCTCACAGGACTAATTATGCAGTTTTTGCAACCAACCACAACATTTCAGCATGATGTTCAGCAGCCACAATCTACCAGGAAAAGAAACGAAAGCACCGGTTTGTTATCATCAGTTTCCATGCAAGCCTTCTCCGTAATAGTTGTCGCAGCGTCCAGCTACTCTTCACCATTTACGTTTTGTGTGCGTGCATTTTGATACAACCATGCAACAAAATCATCGGTTCACTGGTTGCATATGGGTTCCCGCCGAGCCTCATATTGCCACGGAAGCACCACCAGCGATAGTGCGAACATGCACACGTTACCAAAAAGGACAACTCTGAGGCCAACAATGGCAACACAGCGATGCTGCCTACTGCAGTGGTAGAACTGTTGACAGAGCACTGGGAGGATGTGGCGTAAAGTAAAGTGCAATAAATATTGGTTTTCTGCAACTTAGGACAGCATTACTTATACTGCTTCCAAGGAGCGAGAAATATTTAATAGGCGCTACTTCGCTCCTTGAGGCGGCTAGATATCGTCCCATCGCCGGAGAGCGAAATCATGCTGGCGGTGTCTTGCGGTAGAAAGTGCGGTAATAGCTGGCGGTGTCTTGCAGTAATAGCTGCTGTTTCAGTTTTCAAGCAAACCGGCCGCACGCGTTGCTCACGTTCCACCGCAGTCCTGGTGCGAAATAGCGTTGCCTTTTTTTTTTTTTTTTTTTTCAGATTGCCGCCTTGGGGCGCAAGGCGCCACCAACTGCAATGTCTCCATCGGAGCAAGTTATTTTCATTTTTTATGTGACATTACCAGGATTCCCGTGGACGGAAGTTTCACCTCGTAAATAATTCTTGCTCTGTGACTACTTCTTATAAATATTCAGTGCTGGATGGGACTACACATTTCGCCATGAACAAAGTCTGTGTGCGCCATGATATTTTATGTTGGCCAGGTAAAAAATATAGTAAAACCTCATTATTGGAACACAGTCATTTCAAAATCGAAACACTTCGGAAGTTCCGTACTTTTCAATGCAAATCTGAGTGGATCATTTGAAGTGGCAGTCAGTATCAGTCCGGTTAATTCGAAAACTTTGGGTGCCATGTGCCAATTCTCGATCCCGATTTGCCACAAATCCTCGGAAACGACGGCCCTGATTACTTCGAATGATTCCAAGTTCCCTGCATACCACTTTTTGTATGTTCTGCTAATTTGAAAACCCTCTTAATTCAAAGATTTATGCAGGCCCAGTGACTTCAAATTAACGAGGTTTTACTGTAGGTGCACCATATACAGAGGTGCATTTTTTGTCTAATTTTTTCCTGCGAAAGTCACAAAAAGTTGGGAGTGCGTCTTATACAAAAGTGTGAGATGTACACCGGAAAATATGTTATTTTGAAGCCACTTAATTCAAACTGCCCCTATGCACAAATTTGGTTAGTTCAAACTTTGTGCTTGTCCACGCCTAGAAATACCTGCGGCCTGTGTTGCTTCTAGCTGATCATTTGCACTTGTATCTCGCTAACAGTCACAAATAAAGCCTATTTCTTGCCTCTAAATAGCCAGACCAGCCAAACCATGCGCAACAACACTTGCATGCTGACTAAGGAAAAGAGAGAAAAAAAGGTATGGCCTTGGTCTATCACTTAATATGCTTATTAAAGTTGCTCTCGCTGCTTATTAAAGTTGCTCTCGCTGCTATTATGCTTATTAAAGTTGCTCTCGCTGCAGTACAATGGTGTTATGCAGCGAAGCATTCTGAGCATAGGAAAGGGCTACAAACTGTCATAGGAAGCAACACATTTCGTCCCTTTATTATACACACATGCACAAGTTTAATGAGTACAAGCATGATCGCTGATATCTAGAAAATTTACTGGCAATTATCCAGAGCTGTCTATGATGTTGCTGCGGCCATGAGAAATAAAACGTCACAACACTACACTTAGATATAACTCAAGGAAAAAGTGGCTGTTTGCCATCAATTGATTGATTGATATATCGGGTTTAACGTCCCAAAACCAGCATATGATTATGAGAAGCGCTGTAGTGGAGGGCTCTGGAAATTTCGACCAGCTGGGGTTCTTTAACGTGCACCGAAGTCTGACACAGGCCTACAGCATTTTCACCTCCATCGAAAATGCAGCCGCCGAGCTTTTCGCCAGCAAAGGACCCAACTTGAGCCAATGGCATAGTCGTGTCATCGTGACCCCGCAACAGACCGCTTTGGCGCCACCTTCACAAAAGGAGTCATAAAGCAGCATGCCAAAGAGTGTCGCAAAGTGGCCGAGACACCATTGGCTGGAAGGGGTCTTTTGATAGCAAAAAGCCACTTTTTTGTTAGTTATTTCAGAGTATAGTTGGTGTACTACCCCGAGTCAACATCTCATGATAATCAAACAAAATCCTGCGATCCTCTCCAGTTTGAATTATAGACAGCCTACTGTAATTAAGGTTTTTTACTAGGCATCAGCTGGGGTGGTCAAGGGAATAAAAAAAATGCCAGCACAGTGCCTTCCTTGAGAATAAACAGCTGGTCACTGTTTCGATTATTGGTGATCTGGATACTTATTCTTAAGCTCAAAACAGCGAGCCTGCAGTACTATTTAACACACCGCCAGCTCCTTCCTTCCCAGGTGACCACAACATTTCATGTTTAAACCTGAAGACTTTCACACGCGACCACCCCCTAGTCACATTATCTTCGATTTCACAAGGAAGTGGTGCACCGAATACTCAAAACCAGATGGGTGCCACCACTTGTAAGGCACCCGCAAAAAAATGCAATCGTTTTTCCACTACGCTGGTAGAACAGCCTTCGAGATTGAGCAGAAAAACGAAGGATTCCCACAAACGATCTTGTAGTTACGGCAATACATTAGCTCACTGCAACACAATGTACAGCTTTACGTACCGTCTCGCATGGAAACAGGCTTGAGTGCAGTTTTCAGCACTAATATTTAGCAGTTTTCAGTACTACATGACACTAATATAAAATTCTGAATTGACTGTACTCCCTGTAGCTAGCCAAAACCAAAATTTTCATGAGAAATGGTTCTCTTAACGGAGCTTGTGACAATAGCTTAGCCAAGACATTGGTGAGTTTTGTAATATTAGCTATTTCTGTACGAGGGCACAGTTAGGAAAATTGCGTAATGTGTATCCCTAGCTCAGGAAATAGTTGTTTGAGCCAGTGAGAGTTGGTAGAAGGCTACGTTGCCACCTTGACTAAGGCTGTTAAACATTTATTTGCAATGTCTAAGAGCTACTGTAGAAACAGGTCCTCCTCTATAACAGCTTCGCTAAAACATGGTTGACAATGCTTACAAGTGTATCATGCTCAAAAAAGAAAAACCATGCAATGCACACACCTTCATGCAGTGGCCGAGGTGGCAACGGAGCTAGTCCATGCTGCACATTTTCATCGGTGTAGAGACCAACATACTGCATTGACGGCAAAGGCAGTGCACTGACTTGTGTTGCCTCCCCCACGGTTATTTCAGGGGGCCTCTCTTTAGCTGCAAAAAAAATTATTCGACCATTTACTCTCTCACGTTAAGGTGTGCGTATGCTTGACCATTTTTAAGCATGACTATAAATGAGAGTACTTATTCCTTGTTACTTTTAATCAAATTTTTAAAAGTTGGAATATCAATATTTTTTAATAGTTAAAGAACATGTCATTCAGAATGCCAGTTGTGTGATATCACATCAAATTAAAGCAAAAGCAAAACATTTTTTTCCATGTAGCCACAACAGATGTAAAATATAAATTACACAGTGGAATAGGCCACATCACTGAGGAAGCAGCTTGCTTGTATATTCAGAGCTCTTTCAAGAGTGCAAATTTTCAGGAGTTGCAGGCTTGTATCAAGAATTCCGCCACAGAAACTTGACCTCCGCAAATAGCACTGTGCGCATGAACCAGTTGTCTTTGTAGCTTTTATTAAACAAGACTCCATAACAAGCAACTCAGTGGCAGAAGCATCTTTTCTGAAACGTGTGTCACAGCCCCTACGTGACTGTGACACATGTTTCAGAAAAGATTTCCGCAAGGCCCCTTTGGCTATTCGTGCTATGTATTAAACTACCTACAACAAAAGAACAATCTAAGCCTTATATGCAGTGCCGATTCCCAAGTGGTTAGCAAGGCATTACAACACTTCAAGCCTGGTTACCAGATGTGCTGCACATGCATAGAGACCAGCAGCCATAGAGTTTTATACAATAATACCTAGAGAGGAATCTGGCGCTGCGATCGTACAGCCCCCATGGGAATTATGAGAAGTACAGGCTTCGGATCGGGTTAGTTAGAAAACTGTCTAGAGATATTTTTCTGTAGTTTCAGCTTCGTTCTGCGCACAGCGTGGGTAGTAGGGTGCGGTACAAGGAACTGAAGCAGCACCTTTGTCATTCAAAAAGGCTGAAGACCATTAGCTGCGACGTTAGAGCTCTACAAGCTCTATTTGACATTTCAAGCGAAGCGTCATCCATTCACCGCTGCACAGAGATGCAGCGTTCCATGCAAGTGCATGATATTGCATCGAGTTCATGTTTTTTTCATAATTGCTCCTTGCGAAAACTCCTTTAAATTGACTGCAAAACTACGGCAAAGCTAAGTAGACCCACTGTCATGCTCCTCTGACTCAACTTCACAAGAGAATGAGAGGTGCGTTGGAGGCAGACCACTAGAACAGATGCACCTGGCATCGCACCACACAAAATGTTTAGCGTTTCTCACTTAATACTGTACTGTTATTACTGTTATTTTCACAAAAAGTTAATTTGTACTTTCGAGAGAAAAACAAGAGTGTTTATTTCAAAGTGTTATAAAAATATTTCATTATATCTTCATGCCAAATTTGGAAGGCAATGGCAGAGCAATGCACATTCGAGTGGTTAAATTTGTCCAGGTTCCGCTTCCATATCATGGTCACAAAAACTCTTTGCAATATTTTTACGTACAAAAGAATGAAGCAGCTTTGTACTGGAAATACCTTCATATCACTTTGCTCTACACTTGGAAAAGAAGCATCTCGTATCTCAAGAACATAATCCATCTGAAGCAGATCCAAAGCCTGTACTTCCCATCATTCCCATGGGAGTACAAGTTAGCAATGTTGAAGGAGACCGCATAGACACCAGCGCCAGATTCCCCTTTACGTATGATTGCATGAAACTATACCATCAGCCAAGACTGCACTCAAATGTCTTATAGTTTTTTTTTTTTTCTTTTTCTGCTTAATAAAGACAGCGCTAACTTCAAAATCATGCAAGTTTTGTCTGGTGTATGCAACAAATCATACATTTAAAATTATTTTTTTGCCAGGACTAGAAACACTCCTCACAAGCGGATGACCAAACACAATGTATCCTCGACACCATTTAGAGTTTTTTTCATAAAATGTGTTAGATAATGTTTAAAAATACGTGAAATGGCATACTTGCTTGCTGCCTACATCATTAGTTTTTCTGTAGCAGCATCGTTCAAGTTTCAAGGTTGGCAAGTCTGGTCACAACATATGACAGGGCTACTTGATCCATCACAGCAGCAAATAGTGTCGGAATGTTCTTTGGGACCATTTGCCACTTGGTCAGTCAGAACACCTCACAGCACAGCCGTGTGAACGGGCAGTCATTTCATGTTAGTAAACACAGGTTCCAACTCTTCATTTCAATTGCTTGCATATATCAGTTACAGAACCAAGCAAGTTCTACGCAAACAATGCTTGTCAGCACACCACAATGCCAGGCTGCTGCAATGGAACATTACAGCATAACCACAATTATGGTGATGTCGAGCCGACAAATAATGAATGGCACACACATATAAAATAGTTGGCGCAAGATAAAAGGTAGATGATTATAGCTTGGAGATACAATCATCAAGCAATAGAAATAGGATGACATTAATGACGTGATTATTTATAAATCACAAACATCATCAATAGGGGCAAACTGCTACAGAAATGCTGCTGCCTACTAATGTTCTCAAGCATGTGAAACATAGCTATGTCACAAAAAACCTTTCCCATATCTCATATACGTGTAAATTCTGAAGGAGATTAGTTGCCAGGATTCCAAAAACATGTTGATAACAACAAATGGTGACCCCATGGGATGCTTCACGGAAACAACAATTTAAGCCAGTTGTGGCCAATATTCATTATTAAAACAAAAAAAAACATTGCCCGAAGATGGTCATGTGCGAGCCGCCTGCTTGAGACCCCTGTTGTAGAAAATTGTTCTTGTTGAACACGTATCGACTATGACAAAGGTGCAATAAGAGTCTCACATTTGCTTTTGGCGAAAGTCAAACGAGAACAGAAACAAAAGCTCCTCTGGACTGTATGCACGCTTACACGACGTACCTGGAACAATTAATAACTGTAGAAAAGAGCGGTAAGGTACTGAATTAAGGAAACTGAGTGTCTAGCGTTATGTCTAGACGTAACGATAGAAGCCGTTAAAGTTATGTTTAGACGTAAGAATAGCAAATCTTAAATTTACGTTTAGCGTGACAACAATACAAAACGGCTTGGTAAACCCACTGCACCGAATGGCAGCTGTAGCGCAGTAGGCTAGCGCGTCACGCTCAGAGCAGTGAGGTTGTTAGTTCAAGTTACTCTGCACTTTTCTTTTTCTCTTTTTTTCCAATTCTGTTTTAAGATTGTAGCAGATATATATATAAGGGAAAGATCTGTACACTTAAGGGCTCGTTTTTCTGTGTTTTCACACAATATTTATGAGACCTAACAGACAGTAATACCAAGGAAAGTATAAAGGAAGCTATCAGATCGAATGGTAATGGAAATATGAAGGAAGAAAAGTGGGTGAAAAGATAACTTGCCGTGGGCAGGAACCGAACCTGCGACCTTCGAATAACGCTTTATTCGCGTTATTGAAAGGTACCAGCTGCAGTTGAACTAGCCTCTATAGTTGAACACTAACCATGTGGGCAGGGTTCTACTATAGAGGCTAGAAACCTTTGAGTGTCTGTAGATCACAAACCCTGACACCACCGGTTGAAACCGTCGGAAATAAAATTAAGACAACTGCTAAGTTGTGTCTCTTCTCTTCCCAAGTACGTTTGGCCCATTGGAAAAACTTCAGTATATATATATATATATATATATATATATATATATATATATATATATATATATATATATATATATATATATATATCGTGGGGTCTCAGCGAGGCGAAAGAGCGCATCGCCATTACGGCTCTTGGAGTGAACGGACACAGTAGACGCGGTCGGTACAATGCACACAACATACATACATTTATTAACTAATTTAGACGACGATATCGTCCGCCAAATGTTACATCAATTTTAATTAACACGCTACCATACAACAACATAACGCAGTGACACACTAAACACACAATAACATGATAAACACACACTAACACCCAACACACTAACACATACCCAAGGCGGCGTCGCCAACACCCGACTTTCCACGTGGGACCCCGGCACGAAGCCCGCGGTGCCGAGCACCGGGGACCCGCGCTACAGACAACCGTTCGCGGCAGCCGCCACACGCAGAAGAGGCTCGCTCAGCGCTCGCCCACCGCCAAGGCCTGCCTTCCGCCAAGGGCCACCGCCGGCGCTACCACTCTACCAACAGTGGTACTCAAAGCGAACACAACGCCATCTATTGCCCGGCGGTGGTCACCACCGAAACAAGGCCTTGAGGCGAGACACGTGCGCCACGCGGTGCAGACAACTTTACAGGAGGGGTGTCAGCACCCCCACATTTCCCCAACCTTAAATCAAACCATATCCCGAAATCAAAAATTAGCTACACAAGCTTTAACAAAAAAAATGATATCGCACGACCATAATGTCCTTGCACCACGACACCGCCGCTGGTCGACACTGCTGCACTGTCCGGCTAGACTTCACCTCAGTACCGGCCCCGCAACAGCAACGTTGCCGTTGGCGCGATGATCCGTCGCTAGCGCCGACACGTCTTCCAATTGCGACCAACACTCGCGAGGGCACCAGACTGCAGGCAGTTGCGCAGGTCCCAGGCATCTCCATCGCCCGACCTCACGACCGCATTCCTGGCCAGCGACGCTGACGATGTGCAGGACAGCCGGCCGTGGATGACGTCCCTCCCGCTGAATACATCAATAACAACAACAAAAAAACTTGAAAGAAAACAATCGAGCAGGTCCTCGGAAAGGGAGCTTGGAGCTTTTTGTCCACGTGGCACGTTGGTCAGTACTGCTAGCTAATACATCGGTGGCGGCCGAGACGCCCATCAAAATAAAACAAAAATCACTTTTCCTAACCCTTGCATCGCAAGATAAAAAAAAAGTGAGGGAAGCAGAGCGCAACGCCACGATCAACCTAGTTGTGCCACGTGCGACAGGCGGCTGCGCAGAGCCTTATGCCTAATGAGTCGCTCGGCAACAACCGGCATCCACCCAGCCTAGGTGCAGAAGAGGCAGCCGCGAGGAGACGTCCACTCTGTGAGGTGGCCCTATCGCTCGCCGCACACA